CCCTTATAGGACCAGGATCCCATTGGAATATCTTCTTCCTCCATCAAGCTCTTAAGACAAATTTCAAAGTTAGGGTCGATCCCTCCTGTCTAGACATCTGAAGATGGATCTCATGCTAAATTAAATCAAACATATGAATAACTCCATGTAATCTTCCAAACATGGCACAAAAGGGCCCCATTTTTGACATGTTAGGCCTCCCTCAATGGGGACAACTCAGAAATGAGTCTATAGATCTGAATGATCTCAATTTCTATTATTTGTGGTTGTCATGCCTCTAATGTCAATTCCTCGAACTCGAGACTTTCTTGGACAATCACCATTAAGTTGATTGGATTATTTCTCACATACTCAGTTGAAACTATGTGCACTTTTCCTCATCAATTTGAAGTCATTACTCCTCCTTTGGGTCCTCACCTTCTTCAGTGTTTAGTGCTATTACTCATTTTTCAATAGCGCCCTGCTCAGTGAAACAAATCACTCCTCTTATTGTGCACTCAGATTCAACGTGGCCACATTCGTGGAACTTAAAACACTTTCTTGAGAGCGAGGAATTGGGCATGCTGGTTGGTTCCATCTGTTTTCCACTCAGAAATCAGTTTCTCCTGTGGCGAGATTGACTTGAATGTTCCACTGGGTATTCTCTGACTTTAACGATCTAGGTGTGACCCATGTCTGAAAGACGTGGTAGTCATCCGGTAATGTGGCCTCTCCATTTTTGAAACTGGAGTTTGAACATCTAGTCGACAGTGAGCGGGTAGGAGCTGACACTGCATCACATTTTATCTCAAACTAGGAAGTGATCTTGTCTTTTCCCTCACGCTTGCGTAGGTACTTCAAATTTTGCACTGGAATGTATTCAACGGCAGGAAAGTAAAGAGATGAAACATAGCGACAGGTGTGGAAGGGCCGGAGAGGTTGCAAGTGGGTTTGGGTGTCACAACTGCAGGAATAAATGGGTAAGGGAAGAGATGGACGGTAGCGGATAACAGTAAAACAACCGACAAAAAAATTCTGAGAGGAATGATAGCAGGTATGGTTG